GAGCGTTGGACATGCCAGCTTTTGTCACAAGTTTATTAGGTGGAGAAAGCCAATCCGACGGTCTGCAGCGCTCTCCCATCTGGCCCAGCTCGTCTCATCTCCTTTTTGGAAGTTGACAATGCATGACTGGGGAAAGGCTGGCGACAGCGCTCTGGCCAGCTGGGGATCATGTCATATCCTTTCTCTCAGGCTGCCCGTTCGAGACAACCGGACACACCACGTCGTCTTCGTTTGGCCTCTTTGACGATGCTCATAAGGCTTTCGTCGAGAATAAATGAGGGTTGCAAGGGATGCTACTCTGCCACGCCTCGGATCCTCGGAGGAGGAGATTGTCCCGCGCGTCATGGTGATTCTCTGCTACCACCGGTGTCTCTTCGCGGATTGCCAGGGGAGCTCGGTTAGTTTCCACAGGCCGGGTCCAGGCCTGATCTGCCTCGCCCATAACTTCATTTTGTCGTGAAGTGGGGTGCGCATGCACGGGCAAGGAGACGATATGCAAGTGTTCCTAGCAGATGCGGGCTGGACGGCAACTCGGTGGTATCCAATTTGCAAAACCCACAGTCTTCCTTTCTTGAGTTTCATCCCATCTACCATGGCAAACTCAGCACTAGTTGGTTGGTTTCTTGCGAGCGTGCCTCTCTTTGCAATTCAGCCATCAAGTCGGAACATTGCGTACTGCGTACGTTGCTCAGTTCGCAGCCAGACTTGTTGATGGCCCAAAGCTTGCGTGCCACACCCTACAGCTAGCTTATCATCTGGCACAGCATGTCATCCGAAGACGTTCTCGGCGATACAGGCAAAACCGGAATTGAAGACAATGTGAAAAGAATCAGGGCGTCAGCGCCCTACCGACAACAACAGCAGGGCTCACATTTACGGAAGCACCGCTCAACGCTTGCCAAGCGGACGTTCCCCGGCCGGACGAGGCCTTTGCCTCCCAGATGGGCGCCCGATACGGTAATGATCTTTGGCGTTGCATCTCAAAGTATATTGTTGTCGACCATTCCAACTTCTCAAAAGCAGACAATATGGGATGCCACCCAGCCAATGTGCGGGATAAGGGCAATCATTCCAAAACAAGACGTGAATAAAAAAAAAAAACAGCAACCAACCTAAAACCATCTGGCCAGTGAACCGGGAACGGCATCAAGTCACTGGCCGGGAGCCCCGTTCTTTCGAAAAACGTTGACCGCGTTTGTTTTATTTGCTTTGTCGCGTCTGTAACCGCCCTTGATCCCTGCCCTCGCAGTGCGAAAGAATGAGCAAGCCCATGGCTCGTCGGAGGTTTAACCCCTAAGAGGCGAAACAATGTTTGCCTCCCGTCGCGCCGGCTCACCTTTGCCGTGCCCACTGGCCTTTGGGCTGCCACCCACTCTACAACGAGTACATTGAAGCTGACTGCGATTCCAAACCCACATCCCATGGGAGATAGATAGGCAGGTAGAGGAACGAACGGATCAGGGGAAGGGCATGCTAGGAGAGTGAAAGATCTCGCAGAGGGCGAAGGGGTTGGGAGGGAGGGGGGTGGAATCGGAGACGGGTGGAAAGGCAGAATCAGCAGTCGCGTACTCTCTCCACAGCAGGGGAGATTGAAACTGTTCTGGGAACGAGGCGAGGATAGAAGGCGGAGACGGGAACAACAATTTTGAAGATGCGCAAGGGAAGAAAGACAAGGCACCGACCACTATTCGCTCATCGAACGGCGACGACGAGAGGGGTGCTCGTAGGAGGGAGGACAAAAACGATGGAGGAGGCACACAGCCCGGGGAAGCAACAGTCGGCCCCCACCGGTAGGGAGATGAGTACTATGGTAGTAATCAGTTAGGATGTCTATGCCCTGTCTCTCTCGCCGTGTGTCTTGCTGCTACTCTCCACCCTTCGTTCGGCAGAAGTGAGAAGAAGCCTAGAAGGAAAAGCAAAGCCACGGTGTATCGTCAGCTTTTGGGCCCCCAAAGCCAAGTGGGTATTCTCGTCAGATTTCAGCATCCGTCAGCCTGGCAATGGCATGCGCCGGGCGCAATTTGGGGGGGGAGTGAGATTCACGGTTTGGCATATCCAGTCCACATGGGATTCCTGGTCCGCCATCCCCACACCCTCATCTGCTCCAGATCCCGCCCCCTCCTTGGCCTTTCTGTCTGTGTGCTCTGTGCATGTCCCTCTTTGCCTTCCTCTTGCTCTCCCTCTCTCTCCTCTCAACCATCTTAACCTCAATCGAGAGTTTGAGCATCCAAGATGAAGGACGTCAGGGCAAGGATAAAGGTTGCCTTGCTGATCGTCGGCTGAAAGCGAGATCTGAGCATGCATGGGTGGGAACAAGGCGGTAAATCCGAGGCGGAAAGCGGGATTCTGCTGGGTGTGTGCTAGACAAGAATGGCACACGACGGAGGAGGGGGTCATGGCTGATGGATGGACGGATGGAGGGCAGGGGAGGGGGGGTTGAACTCAAATAAAGCTTCAGCAACCCAACATGGGATGATCCTGTGATCTGTGAGCCGCTGCATACGTGAGGGCAGTTGAGAAGCTGAGCGGAAGCGGACACGCAAGGATAGAGTTTTCTGCCTGATGGAGGGGGGTTTGCTAGGTGTGCTCAAAATATGTCTTCGACATGGGACGGAGATTCTCCAAGTCCCACGAAGCCCTCAATGATGAGTATTCGCCTGCCGGACTTCATAGAACGGGACTTGGAATGATGGACGTGAGGAGAGAAGCGCAAAGCATACTACTTGCAACACACACACACACACACACACACACACACACACACACACACACACACACACACACACACACACACACACACACACCTACGGCAATGGCAGGCAATGGCAAAAGAGGGAAAAGAAGAAATTTCCGAGTCAACAAAAAATCAAATGGACGAGACATGAACAGGCATTGATGGTCAACCTTCGAGCCGTCATCAACGGCGAAGCAGAACTTCTACCTCTTGGTCAATTCCGTTTGCTTCATCTTCCTCCCCCCACCCTTGGGTTGGCAACCGGCCGTTTCCTTTCTGGAGTGGGCGTTGACTTGTCTTACGAGTAAGGCACCTTCTTTTCCGGCTATTCTGTCTGTGCTGGAGTTATTTGCTGTGCCACACTTCATCGCCGCGCAATTTCTCGGATAATCAAAATGAACGGTGAGAGCTTCTCCGGTGGGCTCGGAAGAGAGACGGAGGGGCTGGGGAATGGGACATCCTTTTTCTTCATGGAAGGCATTTCGGAGGATTTTTGGATAGATGAGAAAGGGATGGGGTCGAGCTGCGCATCGTCATCATTTCAAAAAGCGCGCTCCATAAAGGGATGGGTCATGGATTAGAATCATGTCACTCTGTCATTTGAGCTGTTCAGGGTTCCTGACATGGATATTCTACACTGCTGCCCTCATATGATGAGCGCAACGGGAAAGGGTGATCTGGATCGAGGAGAGAAAGGGGAGAAAGGGAGAGAAAGGGGGGTGGAAACGCACACAGAGTCATGTTGTTGGCTACGGACGTAGGCATTTATTTGCGTGGTTCCACGAACCTGAATTGTATTTGTATGCATGTGGATGCTATGCCCAAGTTGATCGAGCCAAGATGATACCAAAACCCAACGCCGCGACCTGATATCCATTCTCAGCCTGGTCAAAATCACTTCCGGTAGTTACACAGGAGATGTGATCTAGAAGTGGGTTCATCGCATTTGTCCCCAGAGGCCTGGAAGCCAATCTTGACTATGACTCTGACCACGACTGCAACACACACCCACCCTCTTTGCCAGTTTTCTGCTACCAGCAGTGCAAGTGTGAGACTCTGACGACAAGATTGCTCTTTCCTTTGTCGCTTTCGTTGCGTGGTGTTTCAGTGGTTGTCTTAGACATTTAATGACAAAAAAAGGTTCCTAGCAGCACAGTGAGTTACATGTCTTGTGTCAGCCTGGTTAGCAAAAGTGCATGGGCTGATTTCAATGGTGGTTGTCGATACACAGGGGAAGGCAACTCTGCACGAGAGGGAATAGACAAGACTAGGCACGACAAGCATGACATTGTCGCCTGCAATATCCTGTATGAAACAGAACGGTGGAAGCACAGCTGACCACGTAGACGGGGCGTGTAGGCGCAGCCTGTCTGCAAAGCATTTGACACAGTATTCCATCAGCAGCATCCTTCTTTGACCAAGTCATAATATGTTCACGGACACGAATAATTTCCGTGTCATTGTGAAAAGGCTGGGTATGGTTTTGAAGAATTCAGTCGTGTTAAGCAATGTGTTGTGCCCCTTGGGGTAGCTGCTAACCATCCCCGAAATGCCCAGCCCCAGACATGAGAAAAAAAAACTTCAAAACCGGTATGTCTTCCCACCTTGTCAAGACAGTAATTCCTTGATCTAGAGAACCCAGACATATGACACATTCGGCGCAAGTCGCTACTTGCGCGACCACGACCCACCTTCCCCTTCCCCCTTTCCAAATCTGACGTCTTCACTGTCACAGGGGCGGACTTTCAATGTTCGACTGCTTCTAGCCTGTGGGCAAGAGCAAGCGAGGGTATGGCATCTTCGCATCTCTAGCTAGGAAACGTCTTGTCCCTACTGCCGGACCCCTGTGAGCTGATACTACTGCGGTTGTTGGGGTAGAAAGGTTGATTCTCCGATTTGCCATCTGCATCCATCGAAGACCCAGTACCCTGACGTTGTGGAGGTTTTTTGGTGAGAACAGCTCGTGGTTTCTCGGCCGATGCTGGGTCGATGCTGTTTCGCGTTTTGGTCAGCTTTCGGGACGACCGCTTCTGTGAAGCTGCTTGCGACTGAGTCTCAGATAGTGAGCCTATGTCAATAGTAGATCTGGTGTCTGTCGACGCTTGGCTGGGTGCCGTGCTGCTGCCAGTTGGCCGACTGTATGCCGGATTGTCCCTGATCGGCAGAGAGAAGTTGGTAGCAGCACCGATGAGATCCGCCGTGAAATAAGATGGCGAGGTGGTGTGGTTACGGACTCCGTCCGGAGAAGAGGCATTCTGGGCGATGGTCAACTCGGAAATTCCCCAATATTTGCGGTATTATCGCTTACGGATGCCTGGGGGCTAACGTAGGTATCCAACTTCTTTTTTAGCACTTCAGACCGAACAGGCTTTGCCAGGTAATCGTTCATACCAGCCGCTAGACATTTCTCTCGATCTCCTTGAATAGCTGACGCTGTCATGGCGATAACCAACACTTTGCGCACCACGTCGATGGAATCCTTACGAATCATTTTTGTCGCTTCGTAACCGTCCAGCACCGGCATCTGTACATCCATGAGGACCACGTGGTACGGCCGGCCTTCTCTTGCCTTTTGCCGTAAGCCTTCGACAGCCTTCAGACCGTTCTCAAAGGCGTCTACTGTGGTGTATCCCAGTCTCTGAGCATACTGGATGGCAATCTTCTGATTGATCGGATTGTCCTCAGCAATGCATATCCTGATCTGTTCTTTGGGAATGGCAGTGAGATCCAGGAAAGGGTTGGGAGAGGTCATTCTTCTCTCTGAGACGGGTAAAGCGGAACGCTCCACTGGTGGCGGAGATTTGATCTGTTGTGCGTCTCCGGCAGAGACGTCTGACTTTGCTTTGTCGAACGTAACCGTGAACCAGGCAGTGGTCCCTACATTCTCTTGGCTTTCCAGCTGGATTTTGCCCTTCATCATGGTTTCGATCAAAGATTTGCAGATGCTGAGGCCGAGACCGCTACCGCCGTACTTTCGCGCCGTGCTATTGTCAGCCTGGCTAAATGGCTGGAAGAGTTTGGCAAGTTGCTGCTGGGGAATGCCGATACCGGTGTCTTGCACCCTGAAGGTCAACGTCGCTTTATCCTTAGTCTCAGAATCGACGCGTGCACCAATGGTGATTGAACCATCTTCGGTGAACTTCAGACTGTTCCCTATGAGGTTGCCGAGGACTTGATGCAGTCTGATGGGGTCTCCGTAAATGAGCATCGAAGGTAGGTTGATGTCCTGGATGATCTTGACATTTCTTCGCTGCGTCTTCTGCCTGTTGCTGTAAGAGACGGCGCGAACAACCTCCCGGACCATTTCCTCTGGATTAAAGGCAATGACGTATAGCTTCATCTTGTCGGCCTCCATTCTAGAGAAGTCGAGAATGTCGTTGATGACCGTCAACAGCAAGTCGGCCGATACTCTTATTGAATCAGCCATCTCCTGTTGGTCCTTGTCCAGGTTGCTGTCTCTGAGTAGTTCTGAGTTGCCAATGACGCCGTTGAGTGGTGTCCGTAGCTCGTGAGAAACGTTGGCCAGGAATATTGACTTGGCCTTGGCAGCCTCTTCGGCCAGCTTGACATTTCGCTTGGCTTCAGCCTCGGCATGTTTGGCTTTGGTCTCTGCCTCCAACGCCTTGGCGAGAGCACGCTTCTGAAGTGAAACCATTGAAACGTTTTCTGCTGATACCTTCTCGACCGCCTTCATTGCCAGGGCATTGGAGTAACTAATGCCAATCTGATTGACTAGCAACTGTAGGACGGATACGTTGCGGTCAGTGAAAGAGCCCGGCTCGCCCTCCAAATACAAGACGCCGAGGAGCGGCTTGGAGCCATGACAAATGGGAATAGCAATGATAGCTTTGCTCAATACGTTTCTCTGAAGCCAAGCCTCACTCACGTTGCCAAACCGCTCATCACTAATGATGTCCGGGATGAATACGGCTTCGCGGAAGCGAGTGCAGTACAATATGACGTTCTCCGCAACGAGAGATGTGCCCGCCAGGGGAAGCCCTGGTATGTGCGCCGATGCACCTCTCTCGGGATCGCCACTTGCCGCGAGACACCAACCTGATTCATCGGAGTCCTGGACCACAATGGCTGCAAGCGTAGCTGAACCGCCGCAAGTTTGCAGGATAACGTCGCACATGGTCTTCAGCAGCTCGTCGACCCGAAGAACTCCTGAAATGACCTGTGACGAGAGCAGAATCGCGTGCAAATCGATCATATCAAGGGCAGGCAGACCTGCCCCAGGCTCGTTGTGTTCATGCATCGAGCCGCGCCATGCCCCTATGCGCTCGCCTTTGATATCGGCGATGGCAGTTTGATTCGCATGCTGCAAAGCATCTTGATTTTCCTCGCCATCGACAGCACGATAGTCGACACCACTGCTGTCTCCAGCGAAATCAGTCTGGACAGCGGCGTCCGTCGTCCGCGGGTTTCTCGTCGGACTGTGTAATAGAATCGCGTGCTCTTCTTCCAGGCGCTCAGCCACAGCCACAGCACCAAATTGTCGGTAGAAGGCGATGGCATCCCTGAAAGCCGACCGCGCCAGTCTGCGAGCTTTACGCCTGACGAGTGTGCCTGCCATCAGCGTGTTACCCAAAGCCGCCTCAAATAAGTAATTGTGCTCCTCAGCGTTGTCCAAGGATTCCTCGTACAGTTTGACGGCTCCACCATAGTCGCAGGTTAACTCGTCAATCTGCGCTTCCAATATTCTGGACCAAGAGAGGTAGTTGACGTCAGTGTACACTTCCCATTCCTTGATCCTCTTCGTTAGTTCCCGGAGCTTGTATACAGTGTCCTCTGTCTCCTCGATCAAGTCGTTCGGGTCTAACCGAGGGTCATTGAGTCTGCGGAGCATGCGACCGGCGAGGGCAAGACCGTAAAAGAAGATCACCAGCCTACTGTTCCGCGCAGACCATAGGTTTTGAACGCTTTCGTAGCACGCCTGTCCGACCTCAATGGCTCGGTCGTAATGGCCATAGATAAACAGAGGCACGATCTCAATGCTCTCGTACCAGAGGATGGAGCGATTGCCATTTTGGGTGTTGGTTCTTAGCCAAGCCTTGTAGGTTGCGGAATTGTGCTGGTCGTCTGTCATAACATCTAGCGGCTCAGTTGTGCGGGTTTTCCCCTGCAAAGCGCGACAAGCCTGTCGGATTGAGATAAGCAGAGTGCCGCCTCTTGTATCCTGATGCCAGTTTGGAATCTCTTCGCAACCATACTGGCAGAACGCTTCCAGATCAGAGCAGTTCTCGCTCGAAAAGAACTTGAGTTGCGCTGCCAGGCCGAAACTGAGGATGGAAGAGATTCTGTCGCCGGCTGCTGCGGCATACTCTACAGACCCCTCCAAGTGATTTAACGCAACGGCCACCGGTATCTGTACGTGGCCGATGAAGTTTGCGTAGAGCATGTAACCTCTGGCCATTGAAAATGGGTCTCGGTATCGACCAAGCAGTTCGATGCAGACATTGCCCACCTCGACTGCGAAACTGACCATGTTGAACCTAGCGAGAGCAATGATTCCGAGATGCAGAAACGCCATTCCAGACTGCGGGAAGGCGCCATGAGTGAGATGGAGCTCCAGCATAACCAAGGAAAGCTGATAAAACCGAAGATAGTCGCTCCACCATGCCGCGCTGACAGTTTCTGCCAGTACTGCTCCGATAGACGGCAAGCCGGGATCCAGCGATGGTGTTGGGTTCATAAGCTCGGTTTTGTCCATCGTCTGAATCCTGACGGACATTTTCTCGAACTGGTCGTCGCACTTTTCAAACGTCGGATCGTCATCAAATTCGACGTCCAGTGCGCGAAGGCACTCTCTCAATGATGCCAATGCCCCCTTTGCATTTCCGATCTGAGCCAATGTTCTCGATTGCAGGACATAGGCTGGTGCTTTGTCTAAGGGACTTCGAGCACATCTGAAAACTGTCTCGAGCAGGGCATTAGCTGCTCCGTGATTTCCCATGTAAAGATAACACTCGGCGGCGCGAAGATGTAGCTGCATGGTCTCATCGTAAGATACATCCTCGAGCTCGTCGTTCCACGGATCCGGTTGCAACAGCGCTACTGCTGTGCTGTAAAACTTTGATGCTGTTGGCCTGGCGCAATTCTCGACGGCGGCTTGTGCACAGTCAAACAGCAGCTTCCGGTATGGCTCGCGTCGAGGGACTCGCTTTTTAATAATGTCAACAGATTCACAAATATGCGAGGCTGTATTGTCCTTTGCCCTAGGATCTGCGGAGTAGTATTTCAAAAGAGTCTGCGCGATGACGAAGTGCATCTTTCGAGCATTGCACTCCTTGAGCGCTGCTGACGCTTGAATGAATCGATCATGGGCAAACCGGAACCTGTCGTCTGTCTCGCTAGGGACGATAATGTAGGCCTGAACGGCAGCTTGAAGACCGTTGACTGCTTCTTGTTGAGAGTACGATGCGTGATATCGCTCGTTTCCGGGACCCCGGCATGTGGTTTCATCTTCGTACTGGAATTCCCCGCTCAGAAGTCTGGTGATGAGCTCGAATGAGAAGGATGAGCCAAGCAGTGCAGCCCAGGTAAGTATCGCTCGAGAAGATGGGGGTAACTCATTTAGCCTCCTGGTAATGAAACCCGTGTCAAGTATGTCGTAATCGCTTTCGCCCTGGAAGTGCTCAAAAAGCCTGTCAAGGTCGAAGTGCCAGTTGCTGTCCCTGTAGTCGTACCAAATGCACCTTTTCCGGTAACAAGCGCTTAGCATCTCCCGCATATAAAACGGATTTCCTGCGGTTTTCGACTGTATGACTATGGCCAGCGGCATGACCTCCTCTTTTGGCCTGCAGAGCGTGGTCGAAACGTATTGAATTATCTCCTCCTCGCCTAATGGATTTAGTCGGATGCGAGTAACGACCGGCCCGCCCGACCGAGGAAATTCTGGACGATATTAGAATACTGTGTGCGATGCACGGAAAAGGCGATGTTGAGGCTTACCTTCAGATTCAGGAGGCTGAATGATGGACTGTACTCGCTCGGGGGACAGCTCCTCAGGGCGGTATGTTATGATGACGACCATCTTCATTCGTGCTCCAATGATCTGAGTAATCAACTCTAAGGACTCGTCATCAGCAAAGTGAAGGTCATCCAATACAAAACAAATAAATTTGTGAGACGTGAACATGCGGAGGACATCTAGGAAGGTGTTCATTAAGCGCATAGTCTTTGTTGCTCCACCGGCCCGTAAAAAGTCTTGAGAGGCTTGTGAAGAGATGACGGTAGGCTTCGCCAAGCGGCTGGGTGAGCTTCCCGGGGATGAGCCGCGTCTTTTGAGCCCCGTCCGTATGTTGCGAGTCTGGTTGGAACCTTGAGTGATTGATACAGATCGTGGCAAAGAGTTGTCAAGTGCGCCGATAAGGAAATCGGGCAACCCAAGTACCTTGTGGAGGGTCGGCCACACGGGTCGTACGTACTGCTTCAGAGCTTGATGGAATGGCGTATCTGTGTTTCGTTCTCCGAAGACTTGTTTGAACAATGACGACAACAACTTGAGCAGCGGTCCGAAAGCAGTTCGGCGAGCTGTGTCAAATTTCGCCGTGGCGCAATAACCTCTCCGTCTGGCTTCCGCAAGTACAGATTGATACAGACAGCTCTTGCCAAGCCCGCCGGCACCCTCCACAAGGACAATTTCGCAATGACCGCGTCTCCTGAACTTGGCTGAACCTAGTTGGCGGGACAGACTCGACGATGATGACTCGACAGCACTGTGTCGGTTGCTGTCAGTTGGTGTTCCTATTCCATCAGCAAGGCTCCGGGTCTCGATGGACACGGACTGGTGCCTCTCCCATGGTCTGGTCATGCGCCCAAGAGGGCCAGAATTGGACGATGCGATGGTGTCTCCGGATATTGTCTGAGTATCGGACAAGATTGACGGTACGAAGCTTGCTTTCGACTGTCTTGGGTCTGAGGATGTAGTGTGTGTGAATGATCCGCTTCGTCGCGTGGTGCCTTCTGCCGAGCTTGCACCTTCGCTCGACAGATCTGCGCAGTCTGGAAGCTCGGCGGAGAGTTGAGATCCGTCAGAGAAACGATTATTTGCCGATTTTTGGTTCATAGAATGGCTCTTAGCAACGCGCTCAATCACTTTAATGACCTCTGCTCTTTCCTTTTGACGCCCAATCATCATACTAGGTAGGATGAAGAACGATGATATATCCTTCTCTCCAATCTTCCACTCCTTGAGTGCCAGCCAGTCACCGTCGGTCAAGAACTGCTGCACTTTTAACAAGTCATGTTTCAGGCCGCTTGCCGAGTGATAGCGGTCGGCCACATTCTTCGCTGTACATTTCTGTATGATGCGCCCAATGACGTCTGGTATATCGAGCCGAACCTGGGAAACGTTGGGGATCCGTCGGCCCAGAACGCCTTGTACGATGTCCAAAGGCGTATCCCCCTCAAAAACAGGCTGTTGAGTGAGCAAAGTCCAGAAAACGACACCGAGAGAGTATATATCAGTCCGGCTGTCAGGTTCCGCCGGCATACGTCCGGTCTGCTCGGGGCTGATATAGAGGAGCTTGTTCTTGGCGCCTAGCTCTTTCGATAAGCTTGACCAGGACGTACTCGACAAGCCGCCCTCGAATGACCTCGTGCCCGTACCAAAATTGATCAGTTTGACAGAATTCGTGTCGATATTGAAGTGAAAGGAATCAGGGCGAATCTCTCCGTGGGTGATGACCTGCCCGTAGTGGAGGATTTCAAGACACTGACTTGCGCCAATCGCGAAATCGAGGAATTCTTGTAAGTTGATGGGCTCTTTCAGATGAAGTTTGTCTCTACGATAAGCTTCATATCTGTCATCCACCTTCCTTGCCTTGTAAAAGGCTGGTCCCAGGTCTATCAAATCAAACAAGTAGTTCTGGCCGGGGTGTTGGTAGATTGCAACCACAATGGAACCGCGGTCGCCCGGGTGAGGCGCGAGACGGATGAGATCGAGTGGCTTGACAATGTGGTGGCCATTGGGATCAGCTGTAGCGAATAGGTTTTTGGCGATATGGAACGCCCTCTCTTCACGAAGGACGTGGTATGAGACGCGAGCCACCACGGGCTCTTCTATGTATGATATTTCGGCACCAGTAGCCTGGCTGGCTGGGGGAGAGGTGGCAGAGAAGTCGCTGCTAGCATCGCTGGGTAGACCGGAGTGCAGGCTCGTGGAGCTCGCATGCTCTGAGGGTGATGGTCGGCCGGACTGGAGTCTCGCGGTTGATCCAGGACTGGAGGCGGGGTGGGATGATGAGGAAGGTTGATAGGGTGACACGAATCTGGTGCCACATACGTGCCTGTGAAGCGCACATTAGATTAAACGGAGATCGACAGTAGCAGAGAAGCAAGGCTCCGCGCATATTTGGGGTGGGTTGCACAAGCAGGAGGACGCACCAAATGTCATAGGATGTGTGGAAGGGAAGTCTGGACTCATCCCAGGTATAACCAGCAATCTGGCGGAGACGCTCGAACAGACGCGAAGGGGGATCGAAGTGGTCATCCGACACGATGGCAGTGCCGTCCATCATTGAGGTCAGTCATAGGCGTAAGCCTAGAGCTCGGAGACCTTTTGTGGTGATTCGTGTTGGTGATGGTGATGGCGGGGTGGGAGATCGATTTTTGGAGGAGGCAGTGGGACGGGCGGGCGGGCGGGCGTTGGCGACGAACTCGTGGTCTCGGTGACGGCGGTTGGCGCAAAAGGGCTTGTACGATTTCGGTCGGAGGCGTCAAAAGCGTCAACTAGGCGCGGCAGACCATTTCATGGTTTTACAAAATGCCCAAGGGAGTGTTGTGAGACGGCGGACGTGGTGCAATTATGCAGTGAGTGTATTTGGTGTTGGCTGTGCGGCGGCGGCGGTGGTGGTGTTGGTCGTTGTCGTCGTCGTGGATTCGTGAGCGACGTTATGGCAAAGGCCCCGCTACAGCCCTACGCCTCTAGGATAGAGATGCGCGCGTGAAACAGACTGGGCGCCGCTTAATTGAAGTATCGCAATCAAGGCGGCGTGGACAACGACGGGCTCCCTAGGAAGAGGCGTGAGGTTGACGCTGCGTCTAGTGATGCGTCGGCGGCGTCGTCGGCGACTAACGGATCGGGAGATGCAGCTGTCGTCGGTGGTTAGGCAGGGGCTGGAAGTGATGGATGGATACCTACCTAAGGTAGGCACCGTGGGTAGGTACGGCAGCTCACCTGGGCTCCCCTTGACCGGACCTAAAGTACCTTACCTACCTTAGGTACCTAGGTAGGTGGAGGTAAGGTACCTGAGGTAAGGTACCTAGGTAGGTAAGCACCTGAGGAATCTTTAGGCATGCATGGAAGTGGTGGTACTCCAGCGGTAGCGGTGCCAGGCTGAATGTCCCGCGGAGAAAAGGGCATTACCTTACCGTCCGGGCACCTACGTACCTACCTACCAAAGCTGCTAAGATACCGTTCCTCGGGCAGGTACCTGAGGTTAATAGGCAAGGTAAGTACCTAGGTAGGTGCCCAGGTAGGTAATGGAGGTGCTCAACCCCCTCCCCAAAGACCCCATACCATCTAAGGCCAGGCACATCAGAATCAGGTTTGTAGGTGGGACACAACCGGTGTTTGGCACCTATCAACCAGCTTACAGATACACACTGAGGCATCACTGTGACAGCTTGTTGCCTTGGAAGACGCCCCAAACCCAGGGATACATAGGTGACTTTATTGAGTCAAGGCTGAGGTGACCTTAGGTAGGTAGCTGGAGGTCCAACAGTCAGAACAGTCAAATATGTCAGCATCTTTGCAGACGGGAGACAACACTGGAGTACACACTCAGTCAAGCCGAACAGAGTGACGGCCAGACGAAAGGGCAATGATTGGCAGGCGCGGAGCGACCTGCTCGGGTTGGTTGGCCTGTCTTTTATAGCCCTCCACGGTATGGTCTCTGCCTACAATGGGACAGCTCACCGCGGCTAGCATTGAATCGCTTTGTGTCTTTGCTCCCTCTTTGCTCCGGCCAAACCGCCGTCTTCTCGGCCTCCTTCCTTTGACCGCCTGTTTCTGCCAATCTAGGGCTCTCAACAGAGTCGTCACGACTCGTCCACAGGTACATCCAAATCGAAATAGCCCTTCGGTAAATATCCGTCCCGCTCAACTCAAGGCCTGAATCGCGACACTGTTGCATTCTCCCCCTTCGGAGAGCAAAACGTCGAGATGGGCATGTCTTTGCCAGAGGTTCGGACCCCAAATGATGTCACTCGCGACCACCTTCATCCTGCCGCCAAAGCCGCACTTCGAAAACCCTGTCCCTCCCGCAAAGTGAAATCGGTCCTGACTGAAGTGTTGCACTCGCTGCAACAAACCACGCAGACCTTGGACCAAGAAACTCTCCCAAACACCGCCGCCTTCCAACCGTCCCATGCTTAAACTTGGTTTCTCCACGCCCATGGTTGCAACAAAAGACGTGACCGACCAAGGCGCTTCGCCAACGGCATGAAACTGGTAAATCCAATCTCACTCATTACAAGGTTGGTGAATTATCAGGGAACTAGCACTAGGTAAATCCAGTGTACCTGATAGCTAGCAACTGATGGCTAGAATGCTGTGCAGAGCAGAGCTCCACCGGGACTACAGGACCCGTCATCCAACACCCCTTACCTTATTTCATCCTCTCAGTCGCCAGCACGTGTCAAGTGACATTCGCGAAAATAGATGGTATCAAAAGTACATGTCAAAGATATCTATATTCTATATAGCTTTCCCTTTTGACAGGGCTCGCTGAAGCCCTACGCATACATATGCGCACGATTCATCTACATCGTGGGTATGGCGCAAAACAATCCCCCTCATTCAACAAAACTCCCAGGTATTTTTATATGCTTAGCCAAAGCTCCATCTCCCCTGAGCTTGCCGCCTTTCATTGGTCATGTCCATGCTTTCTAATGCTTCACAGCGATAAGACGAAAATATCAGCCCATTCCTATCTTACGGCTTCTGCCCATACGCCACAGCATTACTTGCTGTGCGAGGGGAGTGCTGTGCCGTTGGCGTTGGAGGCAAAGTTGTACGACTGAGCCAGACGACGCTCCTCGTTGCGGCGAGTGTTGACGAAGTCGGGGTAGTTGAGCGTGAGCTCGACGGCACCGTTCACAATGTTGTCGGCAGCCTCAACACCGAGCATGAACGAATGGTCCTGATTGCCGACCTCGTACCTCCAGCTGCCGAAGCGGCCACGGGAGTAAATGTCCAAGTCCTGAAGCTTAGGCAGGAGGTCCTTGAGGACGCCCTCTCTCTCGAGCGAGGGAGTGGGGTAGCCGTGGTCGAAGCGGCGGTGGTATGTGGAAACGATCTCGTCCTCAGGCTTGATCATATCGGTGTTGATAAGACCCTGGATGCATTGCTCGAGGATCTTCTCCTGGTCGACAGGTTTCATGGAAGACTCGGAAACCTCCAACATGATGGACCAGTAGGGGCCTTCCTTGGCCTCGGTAGACTCAGCCTTGCTGCCGTTGGCCAAGTAGAGGGTGGGCAGCTTCTTGCTGTCCTCGGGCTGGTTGTACGGAGAGTAGTTGGAGAAGATGGTGGCGCGGTAGAAGGGGCAGTTGTCCTCAGGGAAGTACAGCCAGCACTTGTCGCCAATGCGCTCAGGGCGGGCGCCACGGAGACCGACACCAATGACGTGGGTAGTAGAGTAGAAGAGACCCTTGGACAGGCTGACAAGCTCCTGGTTGCCCATCCTCTCAACGAGCTGGTCTACGTTCATGGTAGAGACGAGCTTGTTGTACTTGACAGTGGTGCCATCCTTGAGAGTGACAACCTTGCCCTGAGCGTCAACCTTCTCGACGGAGCCCTTCTCGCCCAGGCGGATCTTGTCCTGAGGCAAAGTGTTTGCAACAGCGATCCAGATACCACCGGTACCGTCGCGAGCGGGGAAGCGGAAGGTGGCGTTAGGACCCCAGTTACCGGCGACCTTGTTGAGGACGACGTTCTCGGTGACGAGCTTCAGGTTGGGGGCAGCGACACGCTCTCCGAGCCATTGGCATTGCATCTGGGGCACAGTTTAGTGATCTGACGTGCTTGATACATCCTAGTTTGCTTGAAGCTTCTTACCTTGGTGGTAGGAACAGCCCAAACCTTGTAGTTGTAAGGGCGCATGAAAATATCGGCAACGCCCTCACCGCAGTTGCGGAGAATCCACTCGTCGAAGTCCTTGGGCTTGGTGTTGGCGACGCGGCACTCGAGGGCAGCGTCAATAAGGCCGTTCATGCATTTGACCTGGTCCTCCTTTGGCAACATGGAGATGTTGTTCTGGAAGGGGTAGGGTACCCAAAGGCCCTTGTAACGGACATAGGAGATACGCTGGTGGGTGAACCAGTCATCGTCCTTGGGTAAGGCCTCGTCGATGCAGTCGTCGAAGTACTTGTAGTGGGAGAAAATAACGTGACCACCGACATCGTAGAGCTGGAAAGATTCTGGTCAAAAGGCGTCGGCGCAAGGCTGAGCAAAGCTCGCTGTGTAGGAAGCACTTACGAAGCCCTCGGGGGTCACATCGGTCGAGGCAAGACCGCCAGCCCTATCGGCAGAGTCAACGAGCAGCCATGAGGGGCCGTTCTGCAGGAATCGGTCAATATGCGCATTCGAAGTGACAGGGGTAGGTGTGCAATCTGGCGGTGAGAACTCACGATCTGGTTGAGACGCTTCGCAGCACCAAGACCGGTCGGGCCGGCGCCGATAACCAAGACATCAACGTTACTGCAGAGGCGACGGTCAGCAGGAGTTCTTTCAATTGGAAGTCCCATGCATGCCGCAAGAGAGGCCGTGAGGTTCTGGAACGAGAACCAGCGATTCGGGGGTGCTAGAAAGGCAGAGAAGATACTCACATGTCAGCCATGGTGGGGGTTGTGGAAGTAATGATGATGCTACAACTTGGTTCTAGAAGACGAGAAATGGCGCAGCAAGGCAATGCTCTCGTAGGTCTGGCGATGGCACAGCTCGCGAGATAGCAGCGGAGGGATATTCAAGAGGAATTGAGACTCGGGAGGAGGTGAGGGAGTTGGCAGCAAAGAGAGGAGGAGGAGGGAGGTCGCGCGTGGCATCAGTCGTGGCCGTTGCTGTAGATATGGGTTTCGACTGGTTCGAAAGAAAAGGGGACCGACTGCTGTGATGGAGGGGCCAAAATTATTACTTGGGACAGGGGTAATGGCGGGGCCCCCTGGTCATTGCTTTCGAGGTAGGTGAGGTGTGCTGGAGGTGCGGCAGACCCTTCCACCCTTCCTGTACCGCCGTAGGACGGTCGGGTCGGGAGCCGCAGGAACGGTGAGATGAGGCGTCGTGCTTATGGTGGTGGTGGTCGCCCGCTGACGGATGATAAGATGCCACCATGGCGAACCACCAGGCTGGGCATGGATGTTTGCTACGTTCACAGGTAGACACATAAGGCAGGCATTCAAGCATCACCACGACACCAGCAACCATCTGTCCATAGAAGTGGTGCACCGGCCGCATAGTAACTAAGCATGTTCCATTATAAGGTAACTAAAGGTAAGGTGAGGTGTCTAGGCAGAC